TTCATTGTGCTTGTTTCTAGACAAGGCTTCCTCTCCCAATTTTAAAACCACTCGTGTCAATTGTGAACACCGTCATTAACTCAATATTTATTACTTTGTTTCTGATATCTTGATAAGTACCTCAGAAAACGGTGAAACCAAATAAACACATTCAGGTAATGCTTCCATTTTGACGATAGGTGAAGAGGCCAGTCAAACAAGCAAAATATTTGCGAAATGTAATGTACTCGTTTGCCGTTTCCTACTTTATGTGTTACTATCAGCTGGAAGAGGCTGAGACCTTCATTGGGATCCATATACTAATGGCATATATCGGTAAGTAATTGTAGTTCAATAAAACACTTTGAACTTAACCGGAAATGTGTAGTTAATGTAGAAAGGGAGACAAAAATAAGGTAGTTCTGTTCATCTGGAAAAGCACACAATGAGCATGATGAGCAGCAGTAGTCTACTATAAGTGACAAGATGTTTCGGTGGCGCCCTCCTATCCCTCGTCAAAAATAAGTTTGGTGGTGTTTGTAATTAGCATACTGGATAGTGGAAGCTTGAAATCATTGCGCTCTCCAAGGAACACTGTTAACGCTGTCAGAATTGAAGTTATTATATTACTCTTATTTCTGTCGATGAGAAAGCCTTTGCTGAAGTCATAGTAAGCATTTGGTCAATCGTGGAAGACCGATCGCAGCAAAATAGTGCACATTGCCAATAGTCAATGACAGGTTCAGGAAAAACTCCTACCCCTTTCCATTTTAGCACAGTTACTCCTCTCTAGCATTCACTCTTAAAGTGGAAAGGGGTGGGACGTGGGAGGAGTTTCCCCTGAATTCTTCACCTGTCACCAACTAGAGTAATTTTTTCTAGGCATTCTGTATGAGGTGTTTTCCTTGATGCCTAACGGGCAGTAGGTATGCATGGCATATTCCCTCCTTCAGAACGCCAGATGTACATAGTGTTACATATCCCATGACAGCACTTTAGAACAACAAGAGTGTTCTTCCTAATTGTGTCGTTTTAGATCTAAAATATATATATATATATTTACCCCATTTAAAATTGTTTTTTCATACACACGGAGCCTTGAGATAGTTGCAGCATTTTGCAAACAGCTTGCAACAATATAAAGTGTATTTTCTGGTAGTTTTGTAAAAGGTTAAAATTGATCTCGCACCATTACTCCAGTAAGTCAACTAAATCCTCACACGTTAAGTAAAAACACCATACTGCAGATGCTTTTAAGTGAGGTGAAAAAAAAACAATATATTAGAATTATTTGCTTTCAATGGGATTAATTTGATTTAAATCACTAGCTATACAATAGCAACTCCTTATCAATAGATGTATTTTTCAAACATGGCATGTTGATATGCATTCTGATTTGCTTGCAACAGTATATGCTACATAACTAACGAATGAGGTGTAAGGGAGAAAGAAAGCTCTGATAACACTCGGCTTTGCTCAGAAAGGCACTGTCTTTGCCAGTGTTCAGTCTGATATAAATGATCCTTGCTTGATGATTCATGTAAATGCAAAACAAATACACAGAATGCAAAGTGCAAACCAATGCAAATTAAAAACAACATTGCTTTGTTTAATGACTAGTGGTTTTCTAATGATATAATGAAATAAAAATAGTCTATTACCAAATGATATGTAAAAGCTGATATTGAGCTGCAAAAATTTGACACAAATATCCCACTTCCTCGTTTTTAAGTGTGGCTTTCCACCATCGTCCTTAATTCAGCCATTATTTTTCTCTTTTTTTCTTGGTAAGAACTAGGTAAAAAAGCTATCATAATGGTATCTTTTCAATAATGTGCGAAGATAGGCTGAAGCAGTCAAAACATTTCCTAAATTTTGCATTGCAGCTTTGCTCCATTTCATACCTTGGTACTTAATTAGGCAACTATCTCATCACACTGGAGTCGCCCCCAATAGAATTAACCTGGACTTACGTCGTAGAGGTGAATAAAGCCGCACACCCCACGGGCCTGTGTAATAACATGGGAGCTTCTCCTTTAGTAGGTAAGCACTGTGGGAAAGTAGCAGGAAGGGGGGCGCCTTCGTTCTTGTCCCAATCGTTCTCGTTCCCATCAAATAAATAAAAAAAAATGTGATTTTTTTGTGTTTTCTTAATGACGAAGTTGGTGAGTTTAGAACGAAGAAAATGAAAAAGTTCACATACAGCGGCTATTCACCGACCGCCGCACCGCGTAAATGGCTTCTCTCCGGCGCGCGTGCGCACTGGGGGAAAATACGCCTAAGGGAACCGACGTAATCGCTGGTGTTTATATTGCAGTAGACGCCCTTTCTTTTTTTCTTTTTTAAACTTTATCACGCTTGCAAAAGCCAGACACTGAAAGAAGAGTGCAAGAAACAGAAAGGCTAATGTCGCATTTTATTCTCGCGCCCTCCGCCCTTTGTCGCCTTATTTAAAGCAAGTTCAGTTCATCATATATCCAATAACGCGATAATTATGCAGAGCCTCAGATGTTAAAAAAAAAAGGCTCGTTTTTTTTTTTTTTTTTAGTTGAAATAAATGCTTTCATATAGTGTGAATGTTTTACATTAACCAGTTAGAGGTCTACTTTTGTTTGAATCAGTCCCCGCGGCTAAGGACCGCTAAATGTAAACTGTTCCTGACAGAAGCTTCCACGTTTCAGAGTTCGGCATGTTCGATCTACGACAAATTTTTAAATGGGTTAGTCGATTCATAGCTCGTCTTAGATGCACCGAAACGGGGGGACGATCAGACAGAGAGCGCCTTACAATATGTCCACAGTGAATATGCCTGATTTCCCGTCCGTATGTATGTATATACGCCTAAATTCACGTACTGCTTACGTTTTTTTTTTTTTTTTTTTTTTTTTGTGTGTGTGTGTGCGGGGTAAGGTATTATTTGTATTAAAGGAACTTTGAAAAAGACGCTGGCGCTGCAGAACTGGATTGACTGAAAATTTCTGAGTTTTCCAGATCCCAAGTGTTCAACCGCCGAAAATCAACGTGTCTAAACTGCATTGACAAACCTTCCATGCTTTCTAAAAGCATGGAAGGTTCAGTCTGGTACACAATTATAGGTCAATGTAAAAAGAAAAAGAAAGACTGACTGGTGAAGGCGACATGTGTACCTCAGTCATTTAAGAAATATTTATATTTGCTTCTGTTAGCTGCAGAAGTTGGCACAAAGTTTACTCGAAAATGCAGCACCATTTCACACAAGATCACAACGGAGTGCCAGCAATTTTTTTCGCGACTTATACGCGGTGTCATGGGCTATTTACCTAATAACTACGCCCTGTGTTGAATATAATCGATCCTGCAGTATAACATAAGCTTTCTTCTGTAACATAAATTTCAACTTCGCTTGCTAGACTGTGATTTTCCAACACAGCAGAATCGTCTAATTAGTTGTTCAATAAAGAGCACAGGCTTGGTTTTATTGTCTGTGTGTGAGTGTATTTTTCGTGTGCTTGAATTTATTGAGTGACTGTCTACCAGTGCGCTGGTATGCGCATCATGAGTGAAGATGCCTTAGGTAGTCACGTATCACGCACACACACACACACACACACACACGTGTGTTAAAGGCCGACGACCAGACCCGAGATTCTGCAAGGCAGAAGATCCCCCTCACCATGGGGAAGGAAACAGGGAACAGTGGACAGGGTAGAGGGGTGAGAGGAGGAAGCGGGGGAATAGGGGAAAGTGGAACTGGTCGTCGGTCTTGAAAGCAGAAACCTAATATATGGCACTTTGCACATGACATCATCGACATATGTTATTTTGATTATTTACCTGGAATCTTTTGTACTGATAAGGCGAGTGCGTTCAAGGCGTGTATCTACGTTCCCACGTTCCCAGTTATGCCTGTAGTCAGCCTCGATGGGCATCTGGTGCCTCAGCTGTAGATGAGAAATTTAGCCAGTGAAGTGCAACCGCTAGCCTAGGATTTAACTTTCGCTCCACATGCTCCGAGCTGGTGTGCGCTAGTCATTTGGCCACCGATCCACCTTCGTGCTCCAAGTCTTTGGTACTTGGGTAATTTGGCACGCACATGCGGGGGCGGCTACATGACAGTGGAATTTCTATATAGGTATACATGGCGGCGGCGGTCAGATGTGTTTACAGATTACACAACCTATACTCAATCTCACAAAGATCTAGCTGCAGCGCTGACAAAGGCATGGGTACAAGCGCGTGGCTTTGCAGTGTCCTTGAGGCACGATATATCACACGCAGAAGAACTCTGGTGAGCTTGGATCACGCACGTGTTGCGCCTAGATGGAGCATAGTACAACGTTGATATATTATACGCGCATGTTCGTCGCTTCGGAAAGAGAGCACTACGCACGAACACTGAAAACTGTCCTTCACACTGTACCACCGAACATGCAGCTTTACAGCTACAGTACGTGCGTGTGCGTTGCCCCTGAATGCGAAAATGCACGCGCCATCTGCAAGATGGCGCTGCAAGATGCTTTATCAAAAGTTTAGAACTTTTGATAAAGCAGTTGTTCCTTTCGCCTCTTTTTTTTCTCTTTCATTTTGCAATTGTGATGTGATCAAGCCGAGGGCCGCAGTTATTCCCAAATGAAGCAGCAGCAGTGTGTTCCGAGCTTGCATCACTTCGATTAATTTCAAGGCATGCCACGAAATAAAAAGCCCTTGTTCATACACCGTTGGAATTGGGACTGACTTCAAAATGCAGTTCGACACAGTGTTTAAGCGGTATAAGACGTGTGTTGAATGACCCATGCGGTTGTCACAGGTTCGTGGTTGGTCAACCCAAAACGCTTGTCTTCCTCTTCCCATTGGTGTGAAGCTCGGCCGGCATTATACTCTGTTTCATACTTAGCGTGCAACGCTGTCAAATCTACTGGCGCGAGTGCGCGGCTTCATCTACGGTTTTGCTTGCGCGAGAAGGCGTGCAAATGATCAACAAGATCAAGCCCCACGCTCTCGCCAGTAGCTTTGACAGCGTTGCACCTTAAGTATGAAAAGGAGTATAGTCTCATCCGAGCTCAAGCCTTTGACGCTCAGGTAAACATGTGCGAGGATTGTAATTGACCCTCCCCCCAAACCATCCTTAAACAAACCAAAATGACAAAAAAGACAAAATTTGTGACAGCGGTGTTTGAGAGAAACTGCAGACGTTTAATTGCCCTGCCTGAAACTTTGCAATCATTTCAGTGTGGTTGCACCTGTGTGGGCGAGGTAAATCCACTATGAAAAGACCCTGAAGTGACGCCTTCAGGATGCCGAAAATAATTATGGTAAGTTAGAAATTAATCCACTAGTATACTTCCTAAATATTTGGGCCGGGTGTCGATTAAAAAATTTTAACCCAGTTAATTTGTCACAAATTTTCAGGCGTAATATCTTGAAAAGAATGGAACTGCAGATGTTCCAAACTGGCTGAGGTAAATCAGCCTTGCGGTGCACCAAGGTTTACACTGAACATACTTTTGTGTATTGTCCACGAGGTGTAGCTCTTGCATTGAAGTTTTATGTTGTAGTTTCTTCAATGTTTGAACTTTCAGCGTGCCAGCTGGGTAGTGTATAAATGTTTTTTTTTTATAGCGCAAACAATATCTTAATCCTGGTGGCAGAAAGTTTCGGCTAGCAGTTGACATGGTTGGACAACGGTGTGCATGCTTGCTTTCTCTGAAGCGGCCAATGAAGCGAAATAACAGCATGTGCGGATTGTTCATGCATTTAATTTTTTGTTTGTTGTTCGTTTCAGACTACATGTGCTCCCAGTACAAGGGGGTGGCCCTCCAGGCGCTGACGACCAGCATGTCATCTCTGCTGTGCTGTCGAGGGAAATTTAAAGGGTAAATATTGCAGCTGCAGTTTTTTCTATTCTATCCCTGCTACACTTCCTGTGAATTTCTGTGCACACTTGGTCTTTTTGTTTTCATAGTACTGTAAACTTTTGTTATAGTCCGTTGCAACTATAGAATAGCACAAGCCCCTCCCACAATTCCCTTTGCTCGCCATGATTGGCGGTGTCCTCTCGGTTATCCTCCTATCTAGTGTTTGCTTATTAAAAAGAGTGAAGGGCTTTGTGGGAGGGCCTTCTGCTATTCTAGAGTGGCAACAGAGTATAATGACCTCGGTTAATTTAACCATTTCGAAGAGTCCTAGCGGGCACCCATGCATTTTTATGAGAAGGACTCTGCATCATATTTTGAACCGAGAAAATGACCCCACAAACTGGAAAGCACGGGCTTTCTGCTACAAAATTAACGGAACCAAACTTTGTTTTCAAGATCAGACCGGAAAAAGTCGACTCCTGTCTTAAACGGCGAGTAACAGAAATCCTGTGCTAGTCTCGCCACGTTGGGAAGCTAATGCTATGACCCCCATCTTGATTTCTTTAATGCTTGTTATGGCTGTTTTCACATCTGGTATTTTCACTGTTCTTTGGCCAAAAGTGAGTGGCAGGTCACCATAGGTTTTCAGAAGAAAGTGGTCGCATATGCAGAAATTTCTAGCAAGTTCGTAGCGCAGTGGCACTTCGTCGCAATCGAGGAAAAACTATGGTATTGTTGGTGCAAAACATTAAGCCTCACGACTAGCAGCAACTTAATCATGGATATACTGCACCGTACGGCGTTTATTTGAGCTCTACTCCACTCAAAATATTGCAGGGGCACTTAGGTATCCCTTTGTTGATTGAATGCGAAAGCATTGCCATTCCTAACGACACTTCCTTTTTTTTTCCTCTATTGTTAGGAATGGCAATGCTTTCGCATTCCATCCACGTATGTATAACTAAGTGCCCCTCTAATATTTATATTACGTTACATAATACGGCGTCACACATCATTGTACGTCATGTCGTCACGTGAAGTGTGATGTCATCGAACTGAGGACATATTTTTATGACCATCTTTCGGGCACATCAACGCCGATGCCGTCAAACATGATGAAAAAACAGCCTCAGATAAACAGGGACAAAAAACGGGTAAAGACATGCCATCTTTTGCTGTAATGGGACAAGCTTCTTTTTGAGGGGAGAGTAATGTCGCATTCCGAAGCGGCTGAGATAGCACAGCAGCTAGCATGCCCGGCTCTCACACAGTAGCACCGGGTTCAAATCTCAGCCGTGAAAGCACATTTTATTTTTTATTTTATTCCTCTGTTAACGTTTGGTACAAATCGGATTTTTCGCTCCATGGACATATAATGCTTTGGCATTAAAAAGGCACATCCAGTCAGGAATGTGCCTTTTCGTGTGGTAGGGTCGTACAGCCGCTCACCACTTTGAAAATCACTACTGAAGTAGAAGGGGGCGCTAATGATCACCAAATCAGGTTCACGCCATTCATAGGTGAAGGATCCTTTTGCGTGCACTGCAGATTTGTGTGGCATTTGCTTTCGTTGATTCATTGGCGCATCTCACCGTTGATCGCAGTCCTGCACCTGGTTAGCTCTAACGGGCAGGATGGACAGCTCGGCAGACTCGTCGGCTGAATCCTCCGTGTGTAGTTTAGCGTTGCCCTTATACTGCTTCAAGTAGGGATGCATGTGAACAGTGCGCAAAACACATGCCTCTTGCCCACGCTTCTATATTCATTGCTGGTCGCGGCGAAATAGCCAAGTGATGTGCGGCCATGTTTGCCCTAAAAAGTTTGTGAGACATTTTGGATAATGTCGTAATATTTCGTTGTAAGTCACTCAAAAGGTGCGACAAATTTTGTTTTGTTAATACGGATTTCTTCTCGGGTATCGTAAGTTTGCTTTTTGAACTCGGCCTCTGATGTTTCGATCTTCCCAATAATTGAAACTTAGTGTGGCGGATCCAGACCTTTGTTTGTTTTGGGGTGGGCGGAAAATTTTTAAGGATACTATTCTCCCATTCTTTCTTGTTCAAGGGGGGTCCACTCATGTCCAATTGCCCTCCGAGAAGGGGGGGGGGGGGGGAATGAAGGGGGTCCCCCCCCCCCCCCCCCCCCTGGATTCGCCACTATTGTGAAACCTGCAGTTGATACTCACCCATTCGGAGCATGGCTTTATGATCCGCATAGAACCCTATTACCGTTTCCTTCCTGTCCAGTGTGATTAAAAATACTTGTTCAAGATAGTAAACAAACAAAAAAAAGTAAATAAAAATACACAGGGACAAGTAGACATAAAACACTGGCGCCAGTGTTTACCACCACTTATTGTCCACGTGTTTTTTGCGGCGCTTGTCTACGATCATGGATCAGTTGGCCCAAATTGCCATGTTAATTCTGCGAGATGCCTATAAGTCTTAGCTTCTCTATGTTCAAATTTGGTAAACTTCATAAGCGATAACATCTGCTCGCTTATCTTTAGTAGACCTTTTCAAAAGCCGAAATAAAAGAGTGCAATGCAGCGGCAAAAACAGTGAGCGATTGATTCTCGCAGACTCGGGGGCAAAATATACTTTTGCATTATGGTGCCCCTGACAATGTTATTAGTGCCACTCATTAAACTATCAAGGTAGTGTGTAAATTAAGTGCCTGGGTGAGCAAAAATGTAGGAATTGTGAATGTGACCTTCTGCATTTAGGGCTGGTTCACACATACAGTGCAGCGCTAACTCAGTCCTGTTAAGGCAACGAGTCACTGCTACTTCCATGGCTTGTATCGTGTGTTCTGAGGGTCCTCCTTTCCTAAAGGACTGATGTCCCGGTTCGTAATACTGATTCAGCGCTGAGGTAGTGCTGCACTGTGAACAGGATGCCTTGCGCGGACATTGAAGTTTAGATAAGCAGATCAACGTGTAACTGTGCGTTTTGTTTTTTATAGGTTACCAGTACAAGGTCTCCCATGGACATGAAGGCAGTACAAGGTCTCCCATGGACACAATGGCAGTACAAGGTCCCCCATGGACACGAAAGCAGTGCACCGTATACTCGAATTTTGCATTTTTAATAAACCAGTTATTACTCCTTCACATGGTTTTATGCAGGCATTTTCCGAACACTGCATGCGTATATAGGCATACATAAAAGTGACACTTGCACTCTTTTTCCCCATCCCTCAAAACAACGGTTAGATCCGGACCACATGTTATGCAACCTATTGCCGTCTTCCCCCTTAGAGCCGTCTATCTAGAAACCCACGCTAGGAGTATAATTTCTAATACATTTCATTTGAAAGTCTAGATACACTGCTTTGAGTCTCTGTTGAAAATCAAATGTTATTTTCTACAGCGTTGCAATTCAGGTTTTGATGGGCCATCTCATTTGGTATATTCTGACTCGTCGGAATATACCTAATGAGATGGCACATCAAAACCTCAAGGACAATGTGGTAGAAAAAAACATTTGATTTTCAACAGAGACTCAAAGCAGTGTATCTAGACTTTCAAATGAAATCTATTAGAAATTTTTATGAGGTGGCACGGCTGAACCTCAATTGAAACGCGGTGGCCAATAGTTTTCGTAAACTCCTTAGGGACTCGTTACAAAAAATCAATTGTTTTTCAACACAGACTCGAAACGGTGTCAATAGACGTTCAAATTATATTCATATGAAATACATTAGAAACTTTATGCGGTAGCTTTGTCGAAACATCAATTGGAACGCGGTGGCCAATAGTTTTCGTAAACTCCTTACGGACTCGTTACAAAACTCGTTTGCATTTCTATTGAGACTCGAAAAGATGTAATGAGTAGACTCCATAAACTGTCAAATGAAATTCATTTAAAATTTTTGTAAGGGACGGGCGCCGGCGCAGCGGCGGCCGATAGATGGCGTAAGTAGTAACGGCGCTCGCCTGTCCGAGAATCTTGGGGTTGATAGCGCAATATAGGCTGCGTTTACATGAATACGACAGTAGCGTATCGAATCGGGTTAGCGTATCGAATCATCCCATGTAAACGCCTTGATTTGCTACCCAAGGGAATCGAATCGAGACCGATTCGATTCGTGTGAGATTTTCAAGCCCAATAGAAACCTCCATGTAAACCCTAGCGAATCGAATCGGGTGTCTGAAGGACGGGGGAAGCGGGAGAAGGAGGGAGTGGAGAAAGTCTAAGATGACCTTCAAACTTTGCTCCCCTCTTCCTTTTGTACCAACGTCCAGACCGAGTAGTCACCGGTGGACTCCATTAATCCCCCCGACATGTCACGTGGGGTGCGCTGCAATCATACGATGAGAGGTGACGCCACCGGTCGATTCGAATCCATGAAAAACGCGCCAGTTAAAGTGAATTCAATGCGCTAGCTTAATTCGAAGCGCTAAGGTCGCATTCATGTAGACGTAACCATAAGACCGTTTTCAAAATTCGCGTGGCGATTATTAGAAAGTCGGAACTCCTGCACAATGGCTGAACACCTGAAATCATGGAGCGTGCAAGTCATTCTATGAGAGGGTGAACGTCAGTGAGCGGCTAACGCTAGGAGCCGAGTCAATTAAACAGCGCCGAAAGTGCAGCGTCACGGTGCCCATCACCTTTCTCTGTGGTATGCGTTTTCTTCGGCTCCAAACAAACGCATCAAGTGTGCCGTGGCGTTCCGGTTTTAGTCCGCCATCGTGCAGGGATGCCAGAGCTGCCAACAGAGGGCAGTGTATCGAAATGGCTCTATTGATAAAAATTCCGAATTCTGTACGCGCTATAATTTTAGATTTTGACTGACACTCAGAAACTTCCATAAGCATGTTAGTCTCATACTTATCTATGTTTCAGGAGAGGAGCTCTAGACTATCTCAAGCTCATTTCTTGTTCTAAAGTAACTTCCATTCACGCACAATCCCATTTTTTCTTAGAATATTATCCCATCATCCTTCTCACTTTGTAACTTCT